TGTTCTAGTAGCACTAAACATTATTGAAATCAAAAATTAAACAAATAAAGAATGACTATTTTTTACTGCGTTACATTATTGGACAAAAATCTTTCGAAAGGCAATAACGCTTGAGTATTTCTTATTACTAATTTGCTGTTAAATGTTTTAGTTAAGACACTGATTTTATAGTAATGATAATTTTATACGAAAATATTAATGAACATAACTTATTTAGAAGACAGGTATTGTCATTTTGTTGTAATATTTTTTTTTTCGTCCGATTTAGCACGGTCTAACTGATCACCGTCTTACGACTAATGTATTAATTGCATTATTAATACTTATAATGTCTATATAGATCACGTGAAGCTATTCAATAAGTTTTTCGAAATTGTAAGTATTCATTTTTTCTGTTCTTTGTTAAACTATTCTTGACGACTTATGTTATTGTTTGAATATAAAGAAATATTTTACTTACACCATTTTTTCGCTTTATATCGCACTGTGTTATGTATTTTTTTTCTAGATTATATTAGCATAAAGAATATCTATGCTGCCGTTAACTTAGACAACTTTCCGATTTAACGCTTCAGTTGATCTACTAGCTATTGGTTCTGGAATTGAATGCATTTTCACATGGGCTGAATTCAACGAAAAATGGAATTGATGAAAAGAGAAAACAGTTAACTATGTCATCAAAAATATTTTCTTTTCCCATACTGTTCACATCGTAGTACACTGACTTTCAGATTAAGTAGCTCGTAAATCAATTAAAATATCTAGAAAAGGCAGATGCTAGGCATTTCATTCATTGGTGTAAATCGTTCAATCGAACACTTTCAAAACATGTCAGTCTTTAAATCGGTTAGCTGTTGAGATATGGACCGTCTAACTTAGATGTGTCTTCCATCATGTAGAAGTTAACTATAGTTTCTTGTTTTAGTGGTTGAACAGTTTTGTCTATATATGTCATGCATCTTGTTCTTTTAGATTGTGTTCGGCATCACAACTGATTGTGCGCATTCATATAAGATAAAAGCAGATAGCGCTACCCAGCCTAGATCAACCATCATGAGCTCGAATGAAGAGAATGGTAAAGTCATCTATCTGACTCTGGCGTACGAGTGAGTCAATAAATCTATTTCTACTGACCTTTTGATTTGTGTGTAATGTAGAGAAGTTATGGAGGTGCCGTTGTCTAAATGTGACGGTTTAATACGACACTATGTTCCATCAAAACCACAAGAGGTGTTCGAAACGGTATAACAAATCTTACGTCGTTGATGATGTTGAATTGATAACAAATTTCTCACGTATGTTTAGTATCGAGACTTGATCATCGAACATATTCACAAGAAATGGCCTAACGTCTCTGCTAACTTCACCTTGGATCCTTTTCGAGGCTATTTTAACTGCAATGGTTATGGTGGCCGATACACATTCAACGTTAGTTTGCCTATAACACAAAACTCGATGTTTTTCTTTCTTATACATAGTGTGATGTTCCTGGTGTCGGTTTGGCGATTGTGACAATCACTGAGCCATTTGAGGCGAGTGATGGAGAATTGGCCAATGACATGGCAGAAAGAAAACGACGAGCACAAATCAATGTCAGCTGAATCCTGTTCAAAACGTTTTTTTTAATCAATTCCTTTGCATATGACGAATAGCAGTGATTTTTATCAATTTGAGATTCTATTTCATCAAATGAAATAATCAGTATTCTATCAAAATAAAATAATTTCCTTGCTTTAGACTCATTCATACTTAAGAATTGGTTAATTGAGAACATTTGTAAAACTTCCGACAGTAACCAGTGTTTTGTGAAATACGAAACAAAAACAAGAAATGAACTTGTCAGCAAAGATCGCCATCGAGAAAAGGGTATAGTCTATTGCTCTGTAAAAACTTCATATGAGCAAGCAACCGTGATCGGTTTCGTCCTTGCTTAAGGGACTCATCAGACGGCATGTCCACATTCATCATTATCAATTAATGATAATAACAAAACTGTTTAATCTACCCCTATCAAAGACAGAGAAGACATAGTGCTAACTTCATATGACTACATTAAGAACATGCCGCCTGATGATTCCCTTAAGCAAGGATGAAACCGGTCACGGCTGCTTGTTCTTATAAAGTTTCAATATATTCTGCTGAATTCTTGTTATTCATTAATTAAAAATTAAAATGGAAAGATGTTAGTAGGAGTAATGTTTGTTGAAGACAATGAATCTTTACTCTTCGAATGGAATGAATATGACACTTGGCTCATATTTTCCGTTGATTTCAGCGTTTCTCAGCAATTAATTTATAACACCTGAATTTCTCTTATAGTTAACAACAAATGAAAATAATTTTAATTAAATTTTAATTAATCTTATAATTATTGAAATATGTATTATTTTAATTATTTGCATGAAAATATTTTTCTTTTCAAATATGACATTAATCAGAAACTGAATCGAATCAGGTTTTTCTGAATTGAGTTCAGTTAGGTTCGAGTACATTAGTTCCACCTGTCTAAGAGTGGGCCATAAGTCGATACTTGTTTCTCTGACGATCACAGATGTCGCATTAGAGTAAATATTTGCCTGAAATCATATTAATTCATACATTTGTGGATTAAAATAGTTTTTTTTTAATATTAATATTTGAGAATCAGCAGCTTTTTAGTGTTGATATGAAACTCACGTCACATTCCATGACTATTCATTACACTTTAGAAAAATGATAAAGACTACTGAAGAAAAAACCAAATCAGAGAATTATGCGCATGAACTGACAAATCATCATGAACAACAATGAGCGGTCAAACACTAGAAAAACATAAAACTGCATTAAGAATTATTATTGGTGTTTCCATATAGTCACACCAATCATATTTTTTAATTCAATTTCAATTCGTCTAGTCTTTTTCGGCTATTAGTGCATGTGAAACAATCAATAGAAGCTCGTTTTTTCTTTGTTGACAGCATTAAATTTTTTTCATATCAATGATAGTTCAATCAATCATTTTCTTGTTAACGTTAGACAGCGTTTCACTATCTTTCAGAGAATCAATATGAGTTCGGTTGAATTCGACTTCATTTTTCAAAGTTAGTTCGCATCCAGTTCGGTTCTTTTTCGATCTTTGGTATCAATAATCAAAAAATTTGTCTCATTTTAAAATCTTTCAATCGATCAGATGCATAAATTTTCAAATTTCAAATCGAAAGGACGAATAGTAAATCAGTTGTGGAGAATAATTTCTTTGCTCTCATCATGTGAGTCATTCATGACTTTGCTTCTTTCATAGATGAAGATAAAGCATGCACTACGGCATCCAAAAAAATTTTATTCATTCGATGATGAGTGATAAGCAAAGAATCATGAAATTTGACCTTTTAGCAAACAAAATTTTATTCTTATGTTTTCGATATCTCAGTATATTGGATATATTTTATTCATTTGATCAAGTAAATAATCGGTTTTCAAAACTTATTCGAACTATTCGATATCAACTCAATTTTGAGGGTATGGGTGTGGGTTTGGGTGTGTGTGGGTGCAGGTGTGCTTATGAAAGGATAGAATATTGACACGCACACCCACGTCCCCACCCACACCCATCCACACCCACCCACACCCACACCCACACCCACGTCTCATCCACGCCCACACCCCATCCTCACCCTGAACTTATTAAGGGATATGTTACCTTATTCGAGTGAAGGTGGTCGGTGTGGATGTGTGTGGGTGTGGGAATACGAGCCAGTTAAGAAGTTTTACACCCACACACTCACGCCTCCATACCCACACTCTACATTCACATTCACATTCTACACTCTCACCCACATCCACACTCACAACTCACCCCATAGAGAATCATTATTTGTCATTGATCAAATATTTGTCGATGATTTTTCTTTTATTTAGTGCGCAATTACTTATGAATCATTCTAACAAACGTCAGACTTTATGTATCTTACGAAATACTGTTTGCACATTCGTTTTGTAATAAATAAAAGCAAGTGTATGCAAAAACACAACTATTTTCTATTTGCTGAATCGAACATGGAAGAAGGTCCACTTTATTTTTTATTACCGCAACGACCCATTCGGTGAATTCAGTAATTTCTATCTATCTCCCATTGAACTCGATGGACATACTTGGCCTACCACTGAACATTACTTTCAAGCGCAGAAATTTATCTCCGATGAAACACACTTTCAAAATGTTTTACATTTGCCTAAACCTATAGAAGCTCTTTTTTATTCTCGAAAGCACCAATCAGCGGTACGATCAGATTGGGCACAAGTGAAAGATGAAATCATGCTTAAAGCATGTATGGCTAAATTTGAGCAACACCTACGGCTTGNCTTCGGGAATTATTATTATCAACTGGAAATCGTCAATTAGTTGAGCATACGACAAAAGATTCGTATTGGGCAGATGGAGGCGATGGTAGTGGAAGGAATCAATTGGGAATTACTTTGATGCAAGTTAGAAACAACCTAAGAGACAAACAATCGTAATATGTATCTATTTAACGAAGTTTTCTTTTCATGTAATTTAATATCAGCGACGATAGTCCACAAGAAAATATTTGTGTTTTCAGTCAACAAATATTTTAGGTTAAGAGCATGATTAAAAGTGCCCAAAGTTCGAGATATATCTGAAACCGATTTTGTGTCGATAAATTCGCTTCTTATTTGCCAAAGATTGTGAAAATTCACCTTCCTGAGAGAAAATGAAAATGACATTCACATTTTGCCGACTCCTATTATTTTAGAGAAAATCGCCAGTTTCAAGGTTTATCGAGGTTGCAGTGTACGTGTTCGACTGGTGTTGTGGATCAATATGTAACTGTCGGCCTTCTCTGACTCACACCCTCAAGACTGCTGATGAATTCTAGCTTTCGATGATAGTAAAATACAAAAAAGTCAATCATTTGTTAAATTAATAAAATGACAACCATATTTTGAACGAATAAACGCCCTTGAAACTTATAATATCGTCATACAATGGATTTTCACACTCTTGGCTCACTTTTTAAATTCTACATCATAAAGTCGAAGTACATTTTTACCACTTCGCAAGTAGATTTCCATTGTCAAATAATATAATTTTCTAAAACAATTTCACAAATCAATTAAAAATGCAGTTAATGATGTAAAACAATCAACCAGAACTTTTGACGTACATACATTTTCAGTTCTTTCAAATTTGGAAGAATTGTTAAGAATTTCAAAGGCCATTGCCCAATACGATTATTATTGCTACTATGCATTAACAATTCCAGATGGGTGTGGGTGTTGGTGTGGGGTGTGGGTGTATCTGAGGGTTGATGTAGATTATCTCGTCA